TGTATTTCTTGCCTTGCAAGACATATGCAATTATAAAGAAGACAATACATGGCATCCTCTATACATGGTGCATACACGTTGTACTACTTATATAATGAACCGGTGGCCACCTTAGAGTAACAATCTTTAGATCTTTTAGTCTTTAGATTAATGGGTGTAATCTAAGATATTTAGGGTGAGTCATTAAAACATTGTTTACCTTCCCCGAAGTCGCTGCCAAATGTTTGGGGTCCAGAGAGCGCGAGAAATTGCGATCCATGTTCAGAATTTGGTGGCTACGTGAAACACAAAAATGATGCCCTAATCGTCATGCTAAGGTGACTGTAACTCCCATAATATGACTTAGACTTACGGTTATTGTTCGCTTTGTTACATGGGGCCCTGTATTACTAGGAAACGGGTCCTTGGCTACAGGCTTTTTTAAATGTATGAACCAAATCTGTATTCGGTATTATATTTTCAGTGTTATTCCGGGAACAGACGCGACTGTCGAAAAAGCTGAGCGCTGGTGAGTTGACGGCTATCAGACGCTACATAGAACAGAGAGTGACATTTGAGAACCAGAGTCTTCTGTTCAACCTCCGCCATCTCAAGTCCACCCAGGATCTCAGTGAGAAGGAGTATCAGCGATCCCTAACTGCGCTGCAGCGAGAATTAGAAAAAGAAAAATGGATTGCTCAAGAGTTTCAACGAGAGTTTGAAAGTCTCGCGAGAGTTCTTCAACAACGTGATGAAAGATATCGCCTGAAAAGCGACACGTTGATCTCTGATTTGAAAAAGGCGAGACGTACCTTGTCTGGTGTGGATGACATGAAAGAAAGGATGAATAAAGAAATGAAACAAAAAAAATGTGTTATTGAAGAACAAGAACTGAAACTCAATCAGCTGAGGGACAGTAACAGGAAACGCTATGAGATAGTTGAACAAAAGTATTTTGAAGAGAGGGACAAAATGAATAAAGAAATATTGAGATTGAAATATATGTTAGATGAGAAGAACAAAGAAATAACAAATCTGAAAATAGAACTGTATGAACGAAAGGTAGGGGAGAAAAACGTGAGGTTCAAGGACATTTATTGCGAAGCTGGCACGTGTAAAGCACGTGCCGACCTTGATCAGTGTCGGGCTCAACTCGTCCAGAAATGTACAGAAATAACGTCTTTGAACTTTCAGATCGAGCAAGGCAAGCAGAAGATCCGCGAGCAGGCCAAGCTGATGGACTATCTGTCGCCGGTGTTAAGGCAGAGAGACGACGCCAGGTACAACATCGGCTCCAACACACGGTCGAAGAAGCTGTCTGCTTATTCGCTGCCCAGTGATAGGAAATCCGGTTCTAGGATTTGACAAGATGGAACAGCATGTACCCTCTTCTGTGTGGGGGCAATAATGTCTAGGATTTGACAGAAAAATGAGACAACAGGTACAATATTCAGTGTGGGGACATTACTGTTTTGGATTCGGCAGAGAGATGGAACAACGTGTAACCTCCTCGTTGTGTGAAGGTTAATATCTAGGATGTGACACACAGATGGGACATGTACCACCTGCAGTGTGAGGACGTTAATGTCTAGAGATGGAACCTCTACTCTCTTCAGTGTGTGGACATTGGTGTCTAGAATTTGACAGAGGAACAGGATAGTCTGTACTCTCCTCAGAGTGTGGACACCAAGGTCTAGTATCGGACAAAGAGATGGGACAACATGTACTCTCTTCAGTGTGAGGACATTGGTGTCTAGATTTTGACAGAGGAATAGGATAGCCTGTACTCTCCCCGAGTGAGGACACCAAGGTCTAGTATCGGACAGAGAGGTGGGACAACATGTACTCTCTTCAGTGTGTGGACACCAAGGTCTAGTATCGGACAGAGAGTTGGGACAACATGTACTCTCTTCAGTGTGTGGACACCAAGGTCTAGTATCGGACAGAGAGTAGGGACAACATGTACTCTCTTCAGTGTGGGGACATTAATGTCTAGGATTTGACAGAGGAGCAGGATAACCTGTACTCTCCTCCGAGTGTGGACACCAAGGTCTAGTATCGGACAGGGAGATGGAACTACGTGTAAACTTAGGACAACAGGTGTTGGAAATGTTCCAGTCAAGATGTGTACCCATTCTTCATGGAAAGTTTCAAAAGTTCCAAAGGCGACATGTACATAACCACCCTACGTGTGGGTACAAAGATGATACCGCTCACCTACAATGGGAGATGTTACCGGGGACCGGAGAGATGATTTCATGGTATTATCATTGGTATACAGAGGTGATTAGCATATACGTCCCAAAGGTGAAGTTACCGGCGAATCACAAAGTTCATGTTACCAACTCGAAGCTGTGACTTCATGATGTAATTTACAGAGGCACTTTTATACGTGACGGTGAGGCTAATACTGACTCACAAAGGTGGTGCTTCCGATGATTTCCAGCGTGGGGTTTTCTGTGTTAATTGTGCCAAGTAGACTCCTCCCAAGTGAACATATGGATGGAATCTTGAAAGGACCATTGTCACGTTGTTGCCTTACAATAGCTAGCGAAAAGTGCCAAAATTGACCAAAGCTTATGTTTGCCATGTGTCGCATTGTCGAGCTTTCAATAATATTTTCATATTCTACAAAAAAGGACGAAAATGCGACAACACGACACTGACCCTTCTAGGATTCCATACCAAGACGTTGTAGATGCATCTTCAAGGAAAGTAAATATAATTCAACTCTAAATAGTTATCGTGATTAAAGGACTTTTAAATTTTCATTTGTTATAATAACGAATTCCAAAGCTCATTTCTTCATCCCATCTGTATTAAACATATTTTGTATTAGATTGCGTCGTGATTATTGAATTGAATACACTTTATTTGATTATTATTGTCATGCATTCTGGTATCCTCAACCTTGAATTTAACAGTACTTTGCAGGCGATGACATGGCACAGAAGTGGTCACGTTGGTTCGTTTCGAGTGAGTGAGTGAACATGGTATCAGGTTGCTTTTACCAAGATTCCAGTTGTTCCGGAGGACTCAGCTTCACACATTCTACCCGTGTCGTCTCTGTGCCCATGTAACAAGAATCGAACCCGGGTGTTCGGCGTGACGACCGCTGGGCTACTCACTTACCTTCGTCATACTTACAAACCCGATTATATTATGACTCATTTACATCTGAAAAGATTGGTGTCGAAATGTGACCGTGATATTATTTACTTAAAATGTAGCAAACGGGTCAAATTTCGTCACTTCCTTGCTATTCAAACCATGTCACATTGTGTCTCCTCGTAAATGAAACCAGTTCACATTGTCACTTCCTTATTGCACAACCAGGGCACATTGTCACGTCCCTGTTACTCATCCAGGTCACATTGTCACTTCCCTGCTACTCAACTTGGTCACATTATCACTTCCCTGTTACTCAGCTAGGTCACATTGTAACTTCCCTGTTACTCAGCTTGGTCACATTGTCACTTCCCTGTTACCCAGCCTGTTCACATTGTCACTTCCCTGTTACTCAGCTTGGTCACGTTGTCACTTCCCTGTAACACGGCTAGATCACATTGTCACTTCCCTATTACTCAACTATGTTACATTATCACTTCCCTGTTACTCAGCCTGGTCACACTGTCACGTCCCTGTTACTCAACTATGTTACATTATCACTTCCCTGTTACTCAGCCTGGTCACACTGTCACGTCCCTGTTACTCAACTATGTTACATTATCACTTCCCTGTTACCCAGCTTGGTCACATTGCCACTTCCCTGTTACTCAGCCTTGTCACGTCCCTGTTATTCAGCTTGGTCACATTGTCACTTCCCTGTTACTCAGCTTGGTCACATTGCCACTTCCCTGTTACTCAGCCTGGTCACATTGTCACTTCCCTGTTACTCAGCTTGGTCACATCGTCACTTCCCTGTTACTCAGCTAGGTTACATTGTCACTTCCCTGTTACGCAACCAGATGTCCCTATCACTATCCTCACTCAACTAAGTCATACTACTTGTCAGTCTAGTGGGTCACACTTTCTCGTGATACAACCAGGTCGCATTGTCATGTCCTTGCCCCCTTGTCCCCTCCCCAACCTCCCCACTACACTGCATAGTAGACACTATCGCCAGCTTCTCAACTGGCATTAATCTATTGAGTTAAATACTTTGTAGTTCTGAGCCTGATAACAATATTCAATTACATGTAAAGACAAGGCCTTTATTCACGTGTAAAACTATCTATGAAACATTTGTACATTTAACATGCCACCTCTATCGAAAGTACATAGCAAGTAAGTCTTATGTACCTTGGTTACGGAAGACCGAGTATGGCTAGTGACTATAGAGATCTACCTGAAGGACAGTATTCTCAGGTGAGAAATATTTGTTTTTCTGCCGTCTTCTCCTCCCATACCAGCAGTCGCGTTCAATTACTTCTCTGTCTCCTCTCATCTCAGACACCTCACCCAACCTGATCTCTCTCGCCCACTCACTTCACTGAAAGCTCGCCATCCGCCCTTTCATTTACATTCTCACTAACCCACTTAAAACCATCTCTCTCACCCACAGAATCCTACACACTCCTACACTCAATCTTTCACTCACTCACTCACACACCCCACCCAACGCCATCCATCCACCCACTCACAAACCAACTCATTCACTCTGTCATTCAACCCCTGAAGATCCGAGTTAGAATTGATCTTCAGTAAACCATGCTTGTCGTAAGTGGCGACTAACGGGATCGAGTAGTTAGACTCGCTGACTGGTTGACACATGTCATCGTATCCCAGTTGCGTAGATCGATGTTCATGCTGTTGATCACTGGATTATCTGGTCCAGACTCGATTATTTACAGACCGCCGCCATATAGATGGAATATTGCTGAGTGCGACGTAAAACTAAACTCACTCACTCACTCATTCAACCCACCCAAACACACACACACACACACTCACTCACTCACACTCTCACTCACTCAGGCACTGCCTCACTTATTCACACACTCACCCACCAACCGACCCACTCACTCACTCACTGCCTCTTCCTCCGTCGTCTTCTTTTCATCCTTATCCAGCAGCCCCACCCTCCTGGCCAGCTTCCGGAACTTGTACCTGACCTCCTCCTGTATCAGATGGAAACACATGGCCTGCATGGCCATCCCGAACAGAAGGTACATGCAGCACATCACCAGCTTCTCCTGACTGCCCCACGAGTCGATGCTGCTCCCAGGGACGTAGTCGCCGAAGCCGATGGTGCTCAGTGTGATAAAGCAGAAGTAGGAGGCGATGAGGAAGTCCCAGTCCTTCTCCCACAATGCAAACATTATAGCGCCACCTATGATGTATCCGGTCATTATACAGAGGGTTAGCGATATTGGGACACGTGCTTCCGAGAGTTTGGTGTGAACTGGCTCTTCATCTAAGGGAGATAACTCTCCTTCAGCTTCAAAAGACGTTATTTCTCGCGATTCCGATTCAGCTGCTTGCTTGTTTTCATCTTCAAGAAGCTGTAAGTTATGGTCAGCAGTTACTCCGTTCATCTGACGACTCCACTTCCTGGCCCTCTCGGCCGCCTCTCGTATCTTCGATAATCTGCGAGACTTCCGCATCCTCCGTTTTAGAAGCAGCCATCTGCTCATGAGCCCTAAACAGGCATGTTTATAGACCAGCTTGACGCAGGAGCTGAGCAAGGAGCCGATGTTCCGGAGACACAGAAAGGTGAGTGGTATGCCGACGATGGCGTAGACGATAGTGATGACCCGACCCCAGCTGGTTTTAGGTGTTATGTGTCCATAACCTGCCAATACAGAAATGGGGAATATAGTAGATAAGACTAGCGCTTTGTCTCTCAATATATATAATTATTATGGAAATATATATTTTTAAAATTTAATTGGAACACCAGTGAGATGGAAGACTTTCTTCATTTACGGCATTCGCATAGCTGAAAGTGAGTGATTTGGGTTTTACGCCGCTTTTAGTTCGGCAATGAATACCAGAAATGGGCTTCAACATTGTACCCATGTGGGGAATCGAACCCGGACCTTCGGCGTGATGAGCGAACGCTTTAATCACTAGGCTACCCCACCGCCCCGCATTGCTGAAGAGAATTGGTGGAAAGACAATGAAGTGGTTCAGGTACTGTGAGACAGACTATAGTTCATACATGCACTTTTGTTCATTGTTCCACGCCGTACGCACAAATATTTCAACTGTATGACAGGAGCCTGCAAATATTTGGATCAACTATTTTATGAATAATCGAATCTGGACCAAATAATCCAGTGATTAACCATTGATCTGAGAGCATTGCCGGCCTGACTACCGTCCCTGCGTCGCCTCTTACGCATGCATTTGTTCCTTAATACCGGTTCTCATCCGGATTTTCACTTTTTAAACTTCAAGAACTTGTTTCTAAAAGACGTGCGTAGTACAACACTGTAGTTACTGAATGGCGAAATAAACGTCGTAATACTGGAAATGACATTTAAGTATCAATGGAGTATTTGAACCTATTTCCTAAAAATATACACCGGAAGTCAAGTTTGAGGAAAACATGAATCGTGGTCGTGCAGCCTGTTTTTCGCAATAAAATATTGTTTGAGATTGAGGTAAGAAGTATTTTTGTTTGTGGAAAGGGAAGAGTTCGCACAAACACAACATTCAAATCGAGATGCACGTGCATCATGCATGCATTCAGGCATAAATTGCCGGCTTGAATGGCATATTCACTTGTTTTCTGAACACAGCAGCTGTGTTCCAATATTACGACGTTTCTTTTGGCTTCAGTATATATGCTTGTTACACGTTCAACGAATGTCTGAAGAAACACTGTTGTGTAGAACTTGCCACGTGATTTTATTCCTTCCATTTTTAAAGGTACGCTAATCCATGCATGTGTTGTGTAAAATGCATCTAAATATACCAAACGTCCAGGGAGAGATACACTAGTGAGCAATGCCGACTGCCGAACCCAGGATACAATATCCGGAGGACTGTGCTATTTACAGCACCGCAGTCATGAAGATGACAGGAGTAATAAACAACGCTGATGGCATGATCAGATCTGACCATCCGTTTTGGTTTCAAATCAGTACTTTCATGCTTAAGCGCTCAATTAAATGCATGAATATAATTCTATTTTAACTTTGAATTATGTTGTTTCTGAGAGGTTCGAAATATCAGAGCTCATATACCTGTTCAAATATACGAGATGAGCTCAAATGGCTTTCAACCTCGCGTTTAAGGTTTTCCACTTTACAACGAGTTACCCGTGTGCGTGTCTCAATAGTACCAGCCCATTGAAATACCCAGTTTAATTGGATACCTCACTTTCCACTACACCACGGAGATGGTCCAAGTATGAGAACATAAAATCATTTGGTATCTATGGTTGACAATAGATAACTATGTTTGTGCTTCGATCCTCTCATAGTTTTTCAGTTCTTCTCAAACAATGAGGAAGGATTAATCTCGACAGTGGGAATACCATCTTCACGTAGGCCAACTAGTGTTAATTGATATTTAGTCAACACGGAAGTTTGTATCAAAATCGGTTTGGCAATATGTTATGAGTGAGTGAGGTTTTGCGCCGCTTTGCGCAGTTGTCCATGTTTATCACGCCGCATTAGCTTAATGGAACCCGTGAACATCCGGGTTAGAATTGATCTTCAGTAACCCATGCTTGTCGCGAGAAGCGACTAACGGGATCGGGTGGTCAGGCTCGCTGACTTGGTTGACACATGTCATCGGTTCCCAATTGCGCAGATCGATGCTCATGCTGTTGATCACTGGATTGTCTGGTCCAGACTCGATTATTTACAGACCGCCGCCATATAGCTGGAATATTGCTGAGTGCGGCGTAAAACTAAACTCACTCACTCACTCACTTTATGTGGGACGAAAGCCCGAAGTTATGCAGGTCTCAAACGTAACGTCGACCCATGAAACATACACAGGGTGATGTTCGGGGTGTCCAATGGACGCGGCGCCTTTGAAGGCTCGGCCACCGGTGATATTGAAGCGTCATACAACCATATCAACTGCCACTTCCGTGGCGTGGAGTCAACTGGAGGATAACATTCCTGGGTTTCAGGCAGGTTTCCCAACTGGGTATTCTTCATTTGACTTTCTATCAAGAAACTGTTTGATAAAGACACCGGCAACTACTTTAATAGCTTTCACTAATTTCAAGAAAAACTTTGATTATGTTAAAGAGATGCGTTAAAATATTTGGAGAAAGTTTTCAGGCACATTATATTAGGATGCATAGTCAAATTCGAAAAACCCCAACAACGTTGTGTTTTGAAATGGTGGTATTCTGTCACAAGATAAATAGATTTACAAAAGCAGCCCCAACGTCTGTTTTTGTGTAACAAGCTGTCAGTGCCGTTTCTTTTAAAATGGCAAACTGCATCAATGACAAATCGTGCAATGAGGGCCTGGAGAGATAACTGTAAACAGATACACAATTAGAATGTTGACCGAGAAATGTATGTTTAGAAGACTTTAAACAGATGTTTTACCGATATTGTAGTATGGCTCTGAAGTATGGGACACAAACGTTTTAAAGAAGTAGGAGGTTATGCTGTCGCAAATTAAAGCAAGCGTTCTATTATCTATGTTGCCGTTACTAGCTATATATCAAGTCCGTAATGCAAAATACTTGATGAAACCGACCAGCATGCAAAACGGTCGAATCTCCAAACGAATTTATTGTCATTGACATTAAACATTGGTACATTTGTTCATATTATATATATAATTTTCACATAGATTGTGGATCATATTGTTAAATCAGTCTGTTGGAGACGATATGGAACTTCTTAGATAATAATTTTTTACAGACTTACTAATAACTGACCGTGGAAGTCAATACTCAATAATAGATCTTACATATTTACACCAGGAAAAGGCGAGCATACATTGCCTGCCATCTGCCACAAAAACATGCAAGGGCAAGTTAATTATTCACCTACAAACAGGAATTTTATCAGACAGATTTTGGTCACTGATGCGTCAAATCTGAAAATGTCGACATGTCCACCTTAAAACAGTGTTTGAACTTCAAAAGAATTGGAACCTTGTCAAATAAATACATACGCATTGTATTTCATCAGATACAGATATTATATTTATCCTCAACGAAGGAACTAGCGAAGGGGCAATCAGTTAAATTACTTTTACGTATTTGTCCTGTCTGTGATGATCTTCACGTGAAGATGAACGTCATATCTTCAAATACTATAATATACCCTGACACGGTTATTACCCGAACTTCTACTGGAAACGTCCGACCAAATATATATTTTTTTAATTCGATGTGTACATGTCAGTTTAGAACATTCGGCAGCAATGTTTTTGTACCATGCATTTTAAGATCTGACATGTAAATATCATTATATATGAGTCACGTGATTTACTTGTATTGAATGACTTGTAGTCGTACCACTGTATGGGGACAGGCGGCAAAAACTTAATATACATCTTTTATTCTAATCGTGAGAGGCTGGTGTACCTGCAGGACAGGGCGTGCTGACCCATTCTGGGAACACCTGGTGTCATCCATTTCCCTTCTCCCTGATAATTTTTACTGTTATTTGCCTGTTAAACCCAAGGCAAATGGTTCCTGTGGACAATTGAGACTGGAAGTTCTCGGGCTTCGGCGTTATATATAAAAATGTACTACATTGTCCTTTAATGTTGACTCATTGTTATACATGATCGTTTCTAATATATCAATCACGGGTTCGTTTGGTCCACATCCGATTGCTCTTTTTACACCTTTAAATGGATGTTATATTGGTCAGGGCGTCGATAAACGACAAACGAATAAAACAATTCATAATTACGTGCTGCTATTTTTTACTCAGTTAAAGCAGCGTGTCGTCATAACATACTTTGAGCCCTACTCCACTCACCGATAGTTGTGACGACGGTGACGGCGTACAACAACGCCCCCGCAAACGACCACTGCAACTCATCGTCAGGGTCCTGTCCATCCCAGCCATTGAAGACCGTTATCTCGTGAACCTCCGTCTGAAACTGCTCCACTAACCGAGTCGCGTTCCGCTTCCATGTGTCATAACTCTTCGTGGTGTTTTCCAAAGAACGTGACAGTTCTACCAGCTTCTTGGTGTACGTGACTCGAGCTCGTTCAACTCGTTCCCTCTGGATCATTTCACTTGGAGCCTCGAGTCCCTTGAAGATGACACCACCAAACATGCTGTAGGCGACCACAGCCGACGTGAGTCCTACTTGTGAAAAAAGGAACATAAGGAATCGTTTAATTCCGGTGACAATGACATGACGTATTTGTTTAGCTCGTGACACAGGAGCTGCTTCCATTTTGGTCGAAAGCTGTAGAAATATTTCACAGGATTTTGTCACTGGTTTTCGGTGACCCGTTAAATAATTTTTACCACCGCCTTTTGTACCCAGTGGAACCACCTTGTACTCCAGTGGTGGCGTTTTGTGACATATTTCCAAATTCTCTACCTGTAGAATTCGTGTTGTATTCTTACTGGAACTATGTTATATCAAGGTACCGGACAATCTTGTGAGGCACAATATATCCGCTGTATCGGTGCCTTGTTCCGGATCAACCCTGTTGAACCAGCCTGGCACTTTCATGGCACCGCTCAACTTCCGTGACAATCATTTCATTACACTCACAACCAGCAAACGGACGTGATGAATCACATACTTGGTTTATAAACATAACGGCTGTTATTCGCAGTGGAAAGCGGTACTGTTTACTGGAATTAATCCTGTGTATGTCCAGAATATAACAACTCCTCGTATCGCCCCAAACTTCGTCAAAATATTTTCGATACCTCTGATCTTCTGTTCAAGGTTTCCAGGTGCACATTCGCTATCGTTAAATGTTTTTGTACATTAACTTTCCTTCGTTCAGTGTTATATCCTCTGATATTTTCCATAATAACACCGCCCCCTCCCAGCAGGCCTTCAGATAAACGAGGTATTCGCTCCTCCACAGACGACTGATGGAATTTAATGGGAAAGGCAATTAAAGGCTAAAGCATTGAGTATTGTATCTACAACATTAAGCAGTGGTTCTCGTTGCCCGATATTGGGTGAGTGTAATCAGTGGCCCTAGTGTCTCCTGTCTTAATAGAAATACCACACGTGATGTACAATGGCAGCCGCGAGAACACCTGACCACATCTCGAGATCAAACGTGAGATTACGTGGCTTCGTGCCTTGCGCATAGTTGTTGCGTAAAAATCACGGGGAGCCGCGTGCCACCCTGGTTCTGTCAGACAGATTGCCACGTGCCAAATCTGAAATGTGGCACTTACTGTTTGGTGTGCGAGCGTGAGTGCGCCTGTGCGCTCGTGTGTAGATAGTGAGTGAGTGGATTTTGTTCAACGCCGCCGTGGACTGTATTACAATTAGGTCTCTGCGGGTTTGCATGGTGTGAGACGGAAGCTGGAAAAGCAACGCGCTTGAGTTGCTGAGAACATTTCGAAACTCATTCAGGGCCAAGTGGGATTCGAACCCGTGAGCAGAGTATCCTGGCATACCTAAGGGATGCGTGAGCGAGTTTAGTTTTACGCCGCACTCAGCAATATTCCAGCTGTATGGCGGCGGTCTGTAGTTAATCGAATCTTGACCAGACAACCCAGTAATCAACAACATCAGCAGCGATCTAGGCAATTGGGAACCGATGACATGTGTCAACCAAGTCAGCGAGCCTGACCACCTGATCCCGTTAGTCGCCTCTTACGACAAGCATGGGTGACTGAAGATCAATTCTAACCCGATCTTCAGGGGTGACCTAAGGGATGCAGCTTTGCACATGACTCTAGCATAAGTAAGTGAGTGAGTGAGTTGGGTTTTACGTCGCTTTTAGCAATATTCTAGCAATATCACGACGGGGGACACCAGAAATGGGCTTCACACATTGTGCCCATGTGGGGAATCGAACCTGGGTCTTCGGCGTGACGAGACAACGCTTTAACCATTAGGCTACCCCACCGCCCCTAGCATAAGTAGCCCGGCAATCAGTGCATAATGCTCAGATATTACAGCCAACAGTCTGTTCACGCAATCAACCACACATGTTAACCTACCTTCTCTACACAGTAAGTCGTCACTATACTAACCTGGTATCTCCACACAGAATGTGCTTCAAGTCCATTGACGCCATACCAGCAACAATGTACATTCATTGTGATACTTGTTACTGGTTGTTAACACAGGCATATCAGCAATCCGGACAATCGTGTCAACGTTAATACGGATTTATTTTGGTTTTCAAAATACATTGATTTCGTCACATGAATTTGAATTTATCCCACAAGAAAGGGTTTAGGTGTCGACTTCAAGGGGAGGCCGTTCTCATGACACTTCGAGGGGTTGGTTGGCTCCAAGTCGGGCTTGAAACATTTCACTTTGGCAAACAGGCACCTTGGGACGGACAGAATTTGTGTGAGGAAACAACAAAATAACATAAGGAAGCGGATGGGATTCATCTAACGCTGATATGCACCGTTCGCAAAAGACTGAAGGTGTCATGTCTTCTTTTACATATAAACGTATTATTAAGGTGTTGGCCATTTACTGGTGTATGTGAGGAAATAACATATTAACAGGAAGCGAAGTGGATTCAACTATCACTGATACACACATTATAGTCTGTCAACTTAACTTTTGGCACCCTGTTTTTCACAATTTACATAAAATTTCCTGAATATTTTAAAACACTGTTCTGTTCATATGGTAATTGTATACCGTGACCTAACAAGATATCGATTTTAGTAATTTTAAAACGATTATTAAAGATTTTGCCTTTAAACCTGTCATATAATAATTGTAAAACTGTGGAGAGTTTTACGAGGGGTTAACGCACCTGACGGAAAAGCCAACAACACTGTAAAATGTGTGTCAGCGTGATATGTACATGACGGGTATTTACATTAGCACGCTTAAGTTATATCAAAGATCGTCAACACGCACAGGTTGCAGGAAAACGATGTTATACAAAAGTTACCGGCAAATCATCACAAAGAGTTTACAATTTTTTCAAGCGCGAGGCAAAGCGAAAAAAAAGTCTTTTTATTTAATGGAATGTTTCTCCAAAAGACATTTAATGCCACGAAGATCTGCAAAAGAATATTGCAAAGAGTTATCTCCCATGACACTTTTTCAGAGCCTGACGATTGCATGGCAGTTAAATCGGGGCCGTCTCAAAACATGCAAAGAAAACAAAGCTTGATGAATTCGATAGAAGGGTTGTGAGGGACGTCATGCGTCGGTTACATCGATCCATATTGTCAAGCAAACTGACGAAAATATTGTCAAAAGAAAACCATGACATCATTGTATCAAAGCATACCATACGCAAGCTGTTGCTCAAATTTGGATATAGATACAAGAGATCAAGCAACCAGTCTTTTTTAAGGCCTTAAATTAATCTACTTGTTTAAAATGGATTTATGATGATTAAACAGTCCCTGTAGATTTTCTTGCAGGCGTAACAATGTAAACAAGATGCACGCGTGTCACACCATGTTGTTGGCTGTTCCATCCCATCATTTTTGCTCCCTTGTATAACTACTTCTATTTTTCATATTTTTATAAGATGGCTTCTTAAGACGAAGCTTTAATAATTGACATAAAATTATGAAATTTAAACCTTGGATAGGTTATAAGATATAAAGAGCGTATGCACAAAAACATTTTGAAGGCATTTTTGGTTCAAAGGTAAATTGTGAAAAACAGGGTGTCAAAAGTTCAGTTGACGGACTATAAGAAATCATGATAGTGTTCAGGGGAGTGTCAGACTATAATTTAATTTTTGGAAGGGCATGGTACAAGTGGACAGATAACTTTGTATTGAACCTTTTTTATACACTTGAAATTAGTAGTTATTCAGGATTTACGTTTTGAAGAAATTGTCGTGAGAAAAGGACGAGTAGTTGGGAAGCCTCTGGAACTTCACAAACATGAGTGACAATTCCCTTTGCACAATCAAATGACAAATGCAATATTTACAGTCCGCCGTATTCAAGTTATCGCACATAGTCCGTCAGCCTCACTTTTGGAACACGTTTTTTTGCAAGTTACGTTTAAACAACAAAAGGTATCCAACTTGTATTCACTCAGTTAATAATGATATCTGGCGACCTAATTGGGTGTTGAATTGCTAAAATTTATATCAACTATAAATGATGTTACTCAAGAAACTATCATATAAAGTTTCTGACAACAACAACATTTTCACAAGGGAGTACTGGCAAGTACTGGAATAGCTATCAACAATGTCGCAATGTGTGTCAACATGTTATGTACATGCATGCACGAGCATTTCATGGGGAGTGTTTGTGACGTCACAGCTAGTGTTCGGGTGTCGGCAAGATGCTCTCTAAAGATTCACGGGATATAGTTAAAAGGGTACATGCGTTTTGCAAGAAAGAAGCCAAGAGACAAAAACCCTTTATTTCTATGAATTGCTTCACAAAACGTACACTTCATGCTACCAAGGTTTCAAGAACAACGCTTCATCGCATTATATTTCTTGACAATGATACAGAGTCTGACACTGAAACCCCGAGTGGGTCGGGGAGCATCTCAAAACATCCTAAAAATGGGAAACTGGATGATTTTGATAGACGAGTAGTGAGGGATGTAATTCGATGTTTACACAAGTCGAATCAGGCTATATCTTCCAGAAAGTTGAAGAAGATACTTCAAGATGACCATGATATCCATGTCTCCAAGTACACAATATGTAAGTTATTGTTTAAATATGGATACCGCTTCAAGAGACTGAGCAACCAAAAGTTGACATTGGGCGATATCATAGCATTGAGAGCTCGGTATCTGAGGAAGATTCGTCAGATGAGAGAAGAAGGACATGAAATCGCGTGGCGTGATGACACGTGGGTAAATGCTAACCATACTTCTTCTTACCAATTGCAGCACCGAGATGCAGAGAACAACAGAGGAATACCTCTTGGAAAAGGAGAGAGACTCATAATCCTTCATGCTGGCTGTCGCTTGGGGTTTCTTCCTGGATGTGATGCTGTTTTCAGGGCCAATTCCAAGGATGGACGGGATTACCACAGTGAAATGAACTCTGCAGTGTTCACTGAATATGTGACTGAACTGCACTGGTTGACCATTCTGTGATCGTAATGGACAATGAACCTTATCACAGCTGCATTGACCCCCAGGATAAGTATCCAACCTCAGCTTCCAGAAAGGGAGATATGATTGCTTGGCTTGACAAACATGGCATCGATATATCCATCAAAACCAACAAAAGTAGAGTTGTACATAATTATTTTTACCAAAAAGCAACCACCTATTTATCAAATTGACAATCTGCTTAAACAACAAGGTCATGAAGTTGTACGTCTCCCACCCTATAACTGTGACTTAAATCCGATAGAACTGGTATGGGGCCACCTTAAAAAACAAGTTGCACAGAAGAACAAATCGTTTTAGTTAGCCGACGTAAAACGTATTGTGATTGATGAAATTTGTAACGTCCCAGCAGTTTTGTGGAAAATGTTTGTAGGTCACGTTTTGCAGGTCAGTAGAAGAACAAAATTGGCAAAATGATGGTTTTTCAAACAGAAACGGTCACACCATTGATCATAGATTGGAGGCTGAATCTGACTCTGACATTGAAGTCGGGGCTTCTGGCACATCTGAATCTGAACATTCACATGTTCTCATAATATGGCAAGTCTTCACCTTCTCACCTTGTAATATTATGATGTTTGATAATCAAATTAACTACTTGCCTTTACCTTTCAATACAAATGAATAATTAAAAACATCTGTCTAAAATGAAAAATAGTTTGGTGATACGGTCCCTTCTCAACATGTCCATACACAATCACGACGTTACCCAACCTGCACGTGCCACACACATTGCAACATTGTTGATAGCTATTCCAGTACTTCCCAGTACTCCCTTCTGAAAATGTTGTTGTTGTCAGAAACTTTATATGATAGTTTCTTAAGTAAAATGTTTAATAGTTGATATACATTTTAACAATTCAACATCCAATTAGATCGCCAGATATCATTATTAACTGAGCGAATAAAAGTTGGATACCTTTTGTTGTTTAAACGTAACTTGCAATAACCGTGTTCCAAAAGTTAGGTTGACGGACTATGATCATGTGTTCCATATGAAGACTATCAATCAATGAAGCTACTTTTCTGCTTCACTGGTGACACCCGTCACAAATACATGCAAAGTCAAGTCAATTATTTACCTGAAAACGCAGAGATAAAAGGAACCAGTAGTAACATGCATTTGCGTCTGGTATCATTTTGGTCACAGATGCCTCGAATTTGGAATTGTACTACACATCTTTGAAAAATTCATTAAAGCATTGGATGCTATGACCGTAACCAAATATTTTGAGTACTGGTGGAAAGTTGACTGTTGTGAGACTGAAGTCATACTCTTGCCTATGGAATTTTGGGTATTACTCTGAATCATTATAAATAGATCTTATTCTGATGTCTGTGCGTTGTTTTACGCCGCGCTCTACAAAATCCCCGCTTTATAAACCCGGCCTGTAAATATTCGAGTCCAGTGATTGACATCATGAGCATCGATCTACTCAGCTGGGATACGATATCATACATCAACCAAGCCAGCAAGCCGACCACTGACTGACCAGTGACCGCTCTCTGCATCACATGTCAGGACAACATGGAGGACATGATATGCTTTGGGGAAAACTAGACTATTGGTGGTTCCTGAAAGTTGAAACATTGTGAAAGATCATATTCAGGGGGTCTGATTTTTTGTCTGAGAATGTGGAAACTGTTAATATTGCTGTGCGGATGTCTTACTGGTTCGTGTACACCTTCCCGTCAGAACCGCAGATGTCAGCGTCTACGTTCACCCCACATTTGATTAAGTTGATGTTGGTACAGAAGACGTCCTTGATCAGGTCATACGCCGGGTCATGGCCCCACGTGACAGAGCTTGGAAGGATGGTGGTCATGTGACTGGCTGGAGATGACTTGACTTCACACGGTCCTTTGTGCTTCAAATTAATGTCGGAAGATGGCTGACATCTTGTTTTGGCAAACACGCAGCTGGATGTAGATAGAAAAATATAAGTGGTATCTTAGAATATTATATTCAGGTTGTTTCTTTCTTAATTTATTCCAATCGATCTACGCAACTGGAATACAATGACTTATATCAACCATGTCAGCGATCCTGACCACACGGTCCCTTAGAAGCTGGGTTCCTGAAGACCAAGTCTAACCTAGGTCTTCGCGGGGTTATTCGTGCTGTACATTTGGGTGGGAAGGCTGGACATTCTTGGTGTAACACTGAACTGAACATGTGCACTGTTGTTTCGCTAAAATACCAGCAGATTAGATGTTTTCACCTAAAAGTCACACGTAAGACCCCTGAGAGCCTCATTATTCCTTGGACAATAGAAATGGAATGCCTCATAAACTATCGTTAAAACCTTATTTCTTATAATTCCTTTCGATCAAACTAGTATTTTAAACCTGACAGCTTGCTTTGGCAAACACACAACTGAATGTTTATGAAAAATAGTGAGTGAGTGAGTAAGTTAATATTTAACGTCACATCGGCAATATTTCAGCCATATCGTGACATTTATGACAAATAGAGCATATACATGCAGTAAGACGGACATTCCTCTTGTAACGGCAATGTATTACATTCATGATACTGTATCAACGAAAACGTTTGATATGGTGAATGTGAAAGTTGGATATCACTGAGGTAAGAATTGTTTATTTGGGTTTTTGTTCAACGCCGCACTCAGATATATTCCAGCTATATGGCTGTGGTCTGTAAATAATGGAGCCTAGACCAGTCAATCCAGTGATCAACAGCATGAACATGGTCCCATGCAGTTGGGAATAGATGTCATGTGTCAACCACATCAGCGAGCCTGACGACCCGATTCCGTTAGACGCCTCTTACGACAAGCATGGGTTGCTGAAGACCAATTCTAACCTGGTGATATGTAAGTGACGTGGGTTTTGTGCCACTTTTAGCAATATTCCAGCAATATCAGCATGGTGAGCTAACGCTTTAACCACTGTGCTACCCCGTCGCCCCTCGGAGGCTCGGAGGCGAGGCGAGGTGAGGTGAAGTGAGGTGAGGTGAGGTGAGGTGAGGTGAGGTGAGGTGAGGTGAGGTGAGGTGAGGTGAAATTGGGTTTAACGTCGTGCTGGAGAATATTTCACTCATATGACGACGTGCATGCGTGTGTATGTGTATGTGCGGCTGCTTGTACAAGCTCAGACTGAAGCTGGTTTTATAGTGCTAGCCCACTGAGATACCATGCCGCAGTGAAGCATGAATACCCCACTCAGACTCATTATACTGACTCCGAGCCGACCAGTCCTTGTTGTACCCATGAATGCCAAGCGCCAGGCAGGGACCAACAAGTACCATATTTTAACGCTTTTAGTATGACGCGATCGGGGATCGAACCGCAACCTTCCGCACTCCGGGCGGACGCTCTAACCACTACACCACGGAGGCGGTCCCCGCCCCTCGGAGGTATGTGTCCACGGGTGAGGAATGTGGTGTATAAAGACGTATGAATTAATGAAGACAATCAGATCTGAGGGGGTACAGGGGGCGTGTGTTTTCACTGGTTTTATCGGCGTTTTATCAGCATTCATATTATTACTCATATTTTCTACGTATGCCTACTCACTTGTCAGGGTAGGTGACTTGGTCGGTGCCACACACTGTCTCGTCTTTCGTGACTATGTGTTGACTGCAGTCAAACTTCAAGATGGCGGCACACATTGTGGCGGAGTTAGGATGTTTGTTGATGTGGTCTAGGGCGTGCTCCACCGAATCCGTCGGCTTCGGATGACTAGATTGTGTCCATTGAATCTCGGACAGAAGAACTACAAACACATTTAGTTGTAACTTAGGCAGCTTTACCTGTAGGCACAGATGGCTTACACTGTACTACAGGTGCACTTAGGTAACATAACACTGAAGGCACAGATGGCTTACACTGTACTACAGGTATAGTTGGGCAAAATATTACTGAGGGCACAATTGGCTTACACTGTACTACAGGTGCACTTAGGTAACATAACACTGAAGGCACAATTGCCTTACACTGTACTACAGGTGCACTTAGGTAACATAACACTGAAGGCACAATTGGCTTACACTGTACTACAGGTGCACTTAGGTAACATAACACTGAAGGCACAATTGGCTTACACTGTACTACAGGTGCACTTAGGTAACATAACACTGAAGGCACAATTGGCTTACACTGTACTACAGGTGCACTTAGGTAACATAACACTGAAGGCACAATTGGCTTACACTGTGCTACAGGTGCACTTAGGTAACATAACACTGAAGGCACAATTGGCTTACACTGTACTACAGGTGAGCTTAGGTAACATAACACTGAAGGCACAATTGGCACACTGTACTACAGGTGCACTTAGGTAACATAACACTGAAGGCACAATTGGCTTACACTGTACTACAGGTGCACTTAGGTAACATAACACTGAAGGCACAGTTGGCTTACACTGTACTACAGGTGCACTTAGGTAACATAACACTGAAGGCACACTTGGCTTACACTGTACTACAGGTGCACTTAGGTAACATAACACTGAAGGCACAATTGGCTTACACTGTACTACAGGTATACTTAGTTGTCACAACACAGAAGACACAATTGGCTTAAACTTTGGTAACACTACACTACAGGTATACTTGGGTAACACTACAATACAGGTATACTTGGGTAACACTTGAATACAGGTATACCTGGGTAACACTAGACCACACGTATAGTTGGGTAACACCACAATACAGGTATACTTGAGTAACACTATAATACAGGTATACTTGGATAACACTACACTACAGGTATAGTTGGGTAACACTACAATACAGGTATAGTTTGGTAACACTACAATACAGTTATACTTGGGTAACACTAGACTACAGGTATAGTTGGGTAACACTACAATACAGGTATACTTGGGTAACACTACACTACAGGTATAGTTGGGTAACATTTGACTTCAGGTATACTTGGGCAACACTACAATACAGGTATACTTGGGAGTCACTAAAATACAGGTATACTTGGCTAACACTACACTACAGGTATAGTTGGGTAACACTACAATACAGGTATACTTGGGTAACACTACAATACAGGTATACTTGGGTAACACTAAAATACAGGTATAGTTGGGTAACACTACAATACAGGTATACTTGGGTAACACTACAATACAGGTATACTTGGCTAACACTACACTACAGGTATACTTGGGTAACACTACAACACAGGTATACTTGGGTAACACTACAATATAGGTATACTTGGCTAACACTACACTACAGGTATACTTGGGGAACACTACACTACGGGTATAGTTGGGTAACACTACAATACAGGTATACTTGGGTAACACTACACTACAGGTATACTTGGGTAACACTACAATGCAGGCATAGTTGGGTAACACTACAATACAGGCATAGTTGGGTAACACAACAATACAGGTATACTTGGGTAACACTACAATACAGGGATACTTGGGTAACACTACACTACAGGTCTACTTGGGTAACACTACAATACAGGTATACTTGGGTAACACTACACTACAGGTATAGTTGGGTAACACTTGACTACATGTATACCTGGCTAACACTTGACTAAAGGTATAGTTCGGTAACACTAGACTACAGGTATAGTTGGGTAACACTCCATCAAGGTATACTTGGGTAAAACTACACTGCAGGTATAGTTGGGTAACACTTGACTACAGGTATACCTGGGTAACACTTGACTACAGGTATAGTTGGGTAACACTACACTACAGGTATATTTAGGTAACACTACAATACAGGTATACTTGGCTAACACTACACTACAGGTATAGTTGGGTAACACTACAATACAGGTATACTTGGGTAACACTACAATACAGGTATACTTGGGTAACACCACACTACAGGTATACTTGGGTAACACTAAAATACAGGTATAGTTGGGTAACACTACAATACAGGTATACTTGGGTAACACTACAATACAGGTATACTTTGCTTACACTACACTACAGGTATACTTGGGTAACACTACAACACAGGTATACTTGGGTAACACTACAATATAGGTATACTTGGCTAACACTACACTACAGGTATACTTTGGGAACACTACACTACGGGTATAGTTGGGTAACACTACAATACAGGTATACTTGGGTAACACTACAATACAGGTATACTTGGGTAACACTACAATACAGGCATAGTTGGGTAACACTACACTACAAGTATCCTTGGGTTACACTACAATGCAGGCATAGTTGGGTAACACTACACTACAGGTCTACTTGGCTAACACAACAATACAGGTAAAGTTGGGTAACACTACAATACAGGGATACTTGGGTAACACTACACTACAGGTCTACTTGGGTAACACTACAATACAGGTATAGTTGGGTAACACTACACTACAGGTATAGTTGGGTAACACTTGACTACATGTATACCTGGGTAACACTTGACTACAGGTATACTTGGGTAACACTAGACTACAGGTATAGATGGGTAACACTACAATACAGGTATACTTTGGTAACACTACAATACAGTTATACTTGGGTAACACTACAATACAGGTATACTTGGCTAACACTACACTACAGGTATAGTTGGGTAACACTACACTACAGGTATAGTTGGGTAACAGTACAATACAGGTATACTTGGGTAACACTACAATACAGGTATACTTGGGTAACACTACAATACAGGTATAGTTGGGTAACACTACAATACAGGTATACTTAGGTAACACTACAATATAGGTATACTTGGCTAAAACTACACTACAGGTATAGTTGGGTAACACTACGATACAGGTATAGTTGGGTAACACTACAATACAGGTATACTTGGGTAACACTACAATACAGGTATACTTGGGTAACACTACAATACAGGTATACTTGGGTAACACTACAATACAGGCATAGTTGGGTAACACTACAATACAGGCATAGTTGGGTAATACTACAATGCAGGTTTACTTGGGTAACACTACAATACAGGGATACTTGGGTAACACTACACTACAGGTATACTTGGGTAACACTACACTACAGGTATAGTTGGGTAACACTTGACAACTACAGGTCTAAGCTAAGTAACACTACAATACAGGTATAGTTACAGGTAACACACTACAATACAGGTATACTTGGCTAACATACACTACAGGTATACGGGGTCTGGGTAACACTACACTACAGGTATAGTTGGGTAACACCACACTACAGGTAATACTAACACTACACTACAGGTATAGTTGGGTAACACTACACTACATGTATACCTGGGTAACACTTGACTACAGGTATACTTGGGTAACAGTAGACTACAGGTATAGTTGGGTAACACTACAATAAAGGTAAAGTTGGGTAACACTTGAATACAGGTATACCTGGGTAACACTAGACCACAAACGTATAGTTGGGTAACACCACAATACAGGCATACTTACAGGTATACTTGGATAACACTACACTACACAGGTAGTAACACTCACACACAGGTATGCACCACCACACAAGGTATAGTTGGGTAACACTACACTACAGGTATAGTTGGGTAACACCACACTACAGGTATACTTGGGTAACACTACAATACAGGTATAGTTTGGCTAACACTACAACTACAGGTATAGTTGGGTAACACAGGTATACTTTGGGAAACACCACAATACAGGTATACTTTAATAACACTACACTACAGGGTAACACCACATAGTTGGGTAACACTACACCACAGGTATATAACACTTGACTACATGTAACACTGCAACACCAATACAGGTATACTTTAAGTAACACTACACTACAGGTATAGTTAAAACACAACAACACAGGTAACACTAACTACAGGTATACTACACAGGTATAGTTGGGTACACCACAGGTATACTTGGCTAACACTACACCACAGGTATAGTTAAGTAACACTTGACCACATGTATACCTGGGTAACACTTTGACCACAGGTATACTTGGGTAACACTACACTACAGGTATAGTTAAGGTAAAGTTGGGTAACACTTGAATACACTACATGGTATACTTGACACCACAGGCATACTTGGGTAACACTACAATACAGGTAACTACTTGGGTACACTACAATACAGGTATAGTTTGGTAACACCACAATACAGTTATATACCACAATACAGGTATAACACACTACACTACAGGTATAGTTGGGGGAAACACCACAATACAGGTATAGTTGGGTAACACTACACTACAGGTAACATGGCTAACACACCACACTACAGTAACACTATAGTTGGGTAACACTTGACTACATGTACCTGGGTAACACTTGACTACTACAGGTATACTTGGGTAACAACCACTACAGGTATGGGTTACAGGGTGGGTAACACTACACACAGGTAAAGGTAAAGTTGGGTAACACTTGACTACATGAATACAGGACTATAGGTATAACTTGGGTAACACTAGGGCCACAGGTATGCTTGGGTAACACTTTAACACACACTACAGGTATACTTGAGTAACACTATAATACAGGTATACTTGGATAACACTACACTACAGGTATACTTGGGTAACACTACAATACAGGTATACCTGGCTAACCCTACACTACAGGTATAGTTGGGTAACACTACAATACAGGTATACTTTGGTAACACTACAATACAGTTATACTTGGGTAACACTACAATACAGGTATACTTAGCTTACACTACACTACAGGTAGAGTTGGGTAACACTACAATACAGGTATACTTGGGTAACACTACAATACAGGTATACTTGGGTAACACTACACT